GGGGGGGGGGGGGGAAATGTGGCTGTGTGTGAACTCACATTATCCTACAGCCTATTTCTCCTTGCAGAGCTGCCAATGAGGTTTTTTTGGGGGTGTTTTCTGGGTGTGAATGGAGCTGCAGCTTTAAGCTGTATTGAGGGGGGCACCAACCTGCTTAAATACAATTACAGGGCTCTTGTGTCAAGAGATGGGAATGCTTGAACTGGGGTTCTGGGCTCAGGTGCTGCCTCCATGGTTTTGTGCTGAGGTGTTGATCTGCCCCCGTGTACACACTGTATTAATTATTTTTGTAAACCAAGGAAGGTTGCAGAAGTTTACTTCTTCCATACGACTTTGGAAGGAAACAGAGTTTGAGTACGGGGCATCCCCTTGTATTTATCCTCCTCTCCCCCACCTGACACACAGACTAACGACAGAGACAATCATTTTGTAGGGAGCAAGGGAGGAAGTGCTGCAGGATTTTGTATGCTGGCGTTTTGTTTATAAAATGATTTTATGGACATGTCTGTAAAATGTTCTCTAGATTTTTTCAAGCACACTAATAAAAAGCATCCTCAGCTTTGTAAAGGCAGCGGCTTCCTTTCCTCCTTCCTGTGTTATTCCAGAAGTGGGGCTTGGCCATGGCTGAAGCATTTCCACAGTGTTTGAAGAGGAGCAGTGCCTGCCCTCCCTCTCCAGTGGCAACTGCTTGCGTGGACATATTTTGCACATGTGCCCTGCCGACCTGCTCCCAGTTCGTGCTCCTGGCCATTGTGAAGGCCAGCTTCCCTCTGCCCTTCTGCCCTGCCAATTTTTTTCCTAAACGTTAAAATTATGCTTTCAAGCTTAACATTTTTTAAAGCTACCCCAATGCAATATTTAAGGTTAGAAGGGGGTTTTTAACCCTGTACCTCCGTACTGGTCCGTTGGCTGCGGTTTGGGTTACTTTACCCTGCTGTGTGTAAGGAAGTGGGGTTTGTCTCCCTGGCTAATTCCAGCAGCTGCTGGTAACTTGTGAGCAGGTTCAGGGCAGAGCCAATAGCTGCAAGTGCAGGCAGCGGTTTGGTTTTTATTGAAAGCCTGTATCTGGTTAGAAAAAGGAGAAATGATCCAGGCGCAGGAGGCTGCTGGCAGGGAGCAGGAACCAGGTCCGGTGGGTGTGCTTCTTGCAAAACAGCCCCTCTCTCCCCGCAGAGCAGCAGTCGGTTGTCCCTCGGTAACGGCAGTTTGCTTCCTAACCTGCGGGCCCCCGCCAGGCACCAGAAGCACCAGCCCACCCTCTCCCCTGCCCCTGGCACCGTGGGCAGCCCCACCAGTGTCCCCATACCCGTGGGGAATGCCCCTCGCAGCCCGCGCCCTGACGCTGCACTTCCCAACCGTGCAACTAAATGGCCGAGTCAGGCGCATGTGACCGCTGTTGAGACATCAGCTGCTGGAAACCACTTCCCCGAGCCGCTGGGGACAACGGCCCTGCGTGGCTGTGGCCGAGGCTGTCACCCCCTGGCCCCTCCACTGCTGCTGGCTCAGCTCTGGGTGTTCCTGTCCCCCTCCAGAGGCACTGTGCTGGGTAACTTGTGTTACGTTAGCAGAGAGCAGGAGAAAACACCCTCACAGCAAACAACACAAGTCCAGAGGGGGGTTGTGGTGTGTTTTTTATTGCTTTTTTTTTTTTACAGTGCCTAAACCTAGTCTTGCCAGAGGTTAACACTGTGTGTGGAAACCTCCGCTTTCCTACACCTCTGTCCACTCTAAAGAGGAGGAAAAAAGTAGGATGTGAATGTCAGGTTGAAAAACATAGCTTAAAAAAGCAGGGGAAACCAGCCTCCCTTGGTTTGTTTTTGGTTTGTTTGTTTTTCTTTTTTCCCTCCAGCTTTGCTTGCGTTAACACCAAGCACTGCTCTGGAGCGTTATCTCACCTTCACCCCATCTCGCTTTGCCTCGGCTGCTATCTCAAACCTGCGGGTGAACACGTCACAGCCTTTGCAATGGCAAACTTCTGCTCAGACCTTCACAGGGTTACCCCGTGTAGCACAACTGCCCTGGCCCAGAGCAGCCCGGATGGAGACTGGGAGGGGAAAGTAAAGTGGTTGAAGAGGTAAAAACCTCTCCTGTTGTGACCCTGGGCTGGAGCTGCCCTCTCCTCTCCTCCTAGGACCAGGGAAAGGCAAGGTCTTAACCTCACTCCTGCTCAGAGCCACCTTGACTTAAGATTAAACGGAGCGAGGAGAGGATGTAGCTAATGCCTAACAGCTCCTTTTCCTTTCCCAAAGCACAAACAACCAACTCCCACCTCCAGAAAGCAAAGGCCGAGGGCTGGGCTGGCACGTGATACCTCCAGCATGTGGTGGCAGCAGCACGGCTGGGATCAAGGTGCCCTTGTCCCCCTGGCAGGGACAGGGAGAGGGGACAGCGAGGCCCTGATCCGGCCGGGAGGCAGAGCGGGAGCCAGGGCTGGATGTGCATCTCCTGCCAGCGGTGGGACCAGTCAGCCAGCGGAGAGATGGATCACCCTGAACTCAGTCAGCAGGGCCACGCAGACAAAGGCCAGGTAGTAGAGGATGAGGCAGATGCCGTACGCCTTGCCCAGCTGGAAGCACTGCGCTGTCACTGACACGAAGGAGAAGACCAAGCTCAGCCCCAGGGCCCCGGCCAGGATCCAGACCAGGAGGCTGTCAGGCTCCAGCTGCCGGAGAGAGGGGGAGTGATGTGGGTGACACTGGGGTCCTGCTGCCAGCCTGACCTGTGTCACTGCGGCCAGGGCAGCCTTACCTTCACCACCAGCTGGCTGCTGGTCATCTGCAGCAGGCAGCCGAGTCCCACACCGACCAGGATATCTGGGGCATGTTCAGGATGGAGACAGAATGCAGAGGACCTCGGGGGGGCAGTGGAGGCAGCCATGTCCCTCCCGCCCCGGGGAGGGGGACAGCACTGGCCCTCCCACCTAGCCCAAAGCTTGGCTGTCTGTGGCAAATACAGCCTGGAACACTCGAGGAGAGGCTTCAGCCAGGCCTGGAGATCACCTCCCAGAGGGTGACACAGCCCCTTCCCCTCCTTCCTTCTGGCAGATCCCAAATCTGCCAGACTCCAGCCCAAACCCTCACTCCCCTGGGGCTGGGACAGGAGTGGGGATGGGGAGATGCTGCTGGCTCCATCCCTGCAGCTCCTGCAGTTCACAAATACCACACCAGCCCCCCCTCACTGCGCAGGCACCAGAGAGGCTGCCAGCATACTGGGGACTCAGGTGTGGATCCTGCCTGGCTCCCTCCCGAGGGTCCCCCAGCAGCAGGGGCTCTCCCTGGGCTGCAGGCAGGGAAACTGAGGCAGCCCCTGCCCCAGGGACCACAACCACATCCCCCTGGCACCCAAAGGATACTGAAGATGATGCCCCCGAAGCAGGCGGAGAAGGCCATGCGGGGATAGCCGTGCCGAGCCATGGTGAGGTCGGAGAAGGTGTCTGCAGAGAGAGCAGGGGAGGCTTTGGGGGATGCCAGGAGGATGGGGCACCCAGGCTGGCGCTGGGGTGCAGCAGGGCCCTTACCGCCGATGCTGTTGCCCCAGGCCAGCAGAGTCAAGCCCAGCACAGTGTTGCTCAGCTGGAAGATGACTCCCAGGGTCCGGAGGATGTTCACCAGCTCCGTGGCCGCAGCATTGATCCACATGGCGCTGGCCAAAAACCCAAGGAAGGCAAATACCTGCCAGGCAGAGGAGTAAGCTGGTCCGTGTGTGTCCCACAGGACCCTGCAACACCTCTGGCCAGCTGTGTCTCTTCTGGGGACACTGGGGACCGTGAAAGAGGCCCCAACTCCTGCTCTGCCCCCCAGGACACTCAGCCCAGTCCAGAGCAGGTTGGGCTGGTCCCCAAGGGGTGTCCAGGGCTGGGGGACACCTTACACAGTGGTACTTGGGTGGCTCCTCGTTGCTTGTGGTGATGAAGATGATGATGGCCAGGATAGAGCCAACCAGTGTGACCAGTCCCCAGACTGGAAAGACACCCTGGATCTGGTACAGCCCATCTGCATGTGGTAGAGAGAGGGGGCATCAGAGCAGCCCTGCAGGCACCCCACAGGCTGGGGAAGGATCCAACCAGGCTCGTGATATGAGGTAAAGCCTTGTCCCCTAGAGCCACCTCTACCCTAGGGCCTCATGGGGATGCTCCCCTCCGTGCCTCAGTTTCTCCAGGCAAGTCAGATCCCATTTTTCCCCCAGAACCTGGATGCTGGGGGGCCCAAACCCCCACCCCTGGGAGGAGGACAGACCCATCCAGTGCAAACCAGGCCCCCCTGCCTAGGTCTTTGCTGGCCCGTCTCCCCTCCCCAGATGCGGTGCCAGCTCCAAAGGGCTCCTGTAGTCCCCAGGGCTTTGGTGGCCATCGTGGTCCTGTCCCCTCCTGGGTGTCCAGGGCTCTTACAGGCACCCGACTTCAGGGTGAGGATGCAGAGCAGGGGGCTGGTGAGGACGTGCAGGCAGTTGAGGGGTCTCTTCCAGTTCAGGTCATCCTTGTCGGGGTCCACGACGGGAACAGTGAGCAGCAGCACCATCTCTACGGGCACCTGGGAGAAGCAGCCATGAGCAGGAATGGGGGACCCCCAAGAGGGCACACCCCAGGAGGTGCCCCATGTATATGCCCTTGTCCCACTGTCCCCATTGCAAAGCCCAGGGGTGACACAGCCCCAGGGGCCAGCAGGGAGGGGGACACCCCGTGTGTGGGCTCCTCCCAGCTCCAGCCCCCTGTACTTACCTTGAGAACCTTGAAGAGCCGCCAGTACCAGGGCTTCCTCCTCCACTTGAGGTAGTCCAAGGGGCTGAGGGCGGCCCTGAGGATGTGCAGGGAGGTCTCCCGGGAGGGGAGCAGGGGCCGATACTCCTCACCTGTGAGGGGCCACGGTGGCTGAACGGGGCAAGGGGGGTCCCCAGGACGGCCCTCGGCCCTTCCAGCATGGGCCCCAGGGATACCCCCCTGCCCAGGGTAGCATCGCCACAGCACCCCCATGGGCTCAGTCACACATGCACCAGCCTGGGGGTCCCTGGGACCCCTGACCACCACTAAGGACAGAGCAGAGCCAGCCCTGAGCCCACCAGGAGTGACATACCGTAGTCCCCGCTGTTTGTGCCTGAGGACTCCTGCTCTTCAGCATCCGTCGGCATCTCTGGAGGGAAGAGGAGAGAAGGGGGGAACAGTGGAGGGGGAACCCAGCACACCGGGGGTCCCGTCGGCACAACAGGACAGCCCTTACCTGGCTCCCAGTGTCCAGGGGGTGGCAGTCCTTCCCCCCGCTGCCGCCGGTGAATCCAGGTGCAGAGCACCACGGTGAAGACATAGAAGACATAGAGCCCCAGGTAACCTGGGATGGGGGGAGCAGTGGGGGGTTACAACACCCCCAGGCTGCTCCCACTGCCCAGCCCCAGCCCCCCTGTGACGCTCACCCAGAGCCTCTCCCAGCGTGATCCTGCCGAAGTAGAGGACCACGAAGGTGAGGAAGACGGCCACCATGTAAAAGATGACATCCCTGAGGAAAGGTCTGGAGGCGGCCGTGAAGGGCTTGACCAAGGCAATGCCCCCGGCCACCACCGTGGTCACAAACACGCCGGCACCTGCCAATGCATCAGATCCCTCTCAGGGGGGGAACATCCCACCACCCCACAATGTTCCCCTCACTCATCACTCCCCTGAGCCAGCAGCCCCCGGGGAGGAGTTGGCGGTGGGGATCTCCTTACCAAAGATGGCCCCGATGGCCAGCCCCGCCGTCCGGGGGTTGGAGAAGGCCACCACGGCGCTGAAGACATCCGGCGCCCCATTGCCAAAGGCCAGGAAGGTGACACCATGGAGAGGGGACGTCAAGGAAAAGACCTGATGGCCTCCTCCCTGTGGGGACACCCCTTCCCAGCGCCAGCACACAACCACTCATCCCGCTGCCACCTCCAGCTAATGCTCTGAATCGGTTTCCCTGACACTGTGCTGAGGGGGCGCAAAGTGACCCCCTACCCGGCTGAGGTCCCTCGTGACCCACCAAGGATACTGCCACGTTGTGAGACAGCTTCAGGTTGGTGGAGATGGCCGATAAGTTGGGGCAGAAGCTGGAAGGGCAGAGAAGAAGATGCAGAGGGGTAAAAGGGCTGCTCCAGGACCACGGGGTTCCCCCCAGGTACCGTCCCCTCCTCAGCAGGGCTACTCACAACTTCTCTGCCGTCACGCTGAGGATAATGAAGAGGTACAGAAGCCAGAGCGCCTGCGGGGTCAGGGATGGCAGAGCGAGGGGTCAGTGGGTTCCCCACCCAGCACCCCAAAGCAGAACAGCCCCCAGCAGCATCGCCCCCGCTCCTGTCCTTACGTAGAGGGTGACGGCCAAGGGTAGCAGCCGGGGGGGGAAGACACAGAAGACCCCCTCGAGGTAGTCGAGGAAGCCACCCTCCAGCTGGCAGTCAGGGTTGCTCCGGACGAAGCGGCACCACTCGGAGCTGTTGTGTTTCCGCACCTCCCAGCACTGCGGGGAAGAGCGTGGGGTGCTCGGCCGAGCACTCCAAGTCCTGTCCCCACCCCGAGCACCCAGCACCCTCCATCGGGCACCCCGCGGGTGCTGCTGCCCCTCTGCTGGGTGGAGTTCAGCAAGTCGCTGTCATCCCTGCCTCAGTTTCCCCATCTGTGCTACATGGGCGTGGGTCAAGGGCTGTGCCAGGGCCAGCGGGGGTGGAAGCCCTTGTCCCCACCCCTGTCCCCTGTCCCCCACCCAACCCTGGCCATGGGAAGGTGCCAGCCTGGCAAGCAGCGAGGTTTTCAGAGGAAATCCTGGTGAGATACCAGCAGCGATAGTGGGGGCAGGGCAAGCAGGGACGGGACTGGACCCCCACCTCCCTCCCGCCGCCCCCCA